CCCGCCCGCCCCCCCCCCCCCCCCGCTCTCCTGACATATCGACAGTCCTTCATCCCCTGGACGGTGACCGGCGCCACCGGCCTCATCCCGGGGTACGACGTCAGCGCGGAAGCGCCGCATGTCGACAAGTGGCTGCAGCGCATGCTCGCCAGGCCGGCGGTACGAGCGGTGTACAAGGAGAAGGACACGATCAGGGCCGCGAGTGGGGGGACGGCTGTGTGGGACCGGAATTTGGTTCACGGGGAGAAGGCGGAGTGAGTGGAGGGGGAAGTGGGAGGTGGGAGGTGGGAGTTGGGAGTTGGAAGTTGGTGATGATGGAATGCGGGTTGGGCGCAGCAGAGCGGTATCGCTGATTGGCAGTAAAGTGAGGTTTCTTGAATGTACTCAACGGTATGTCTACAGACGATGATGTTCAGCAGAATAGGGGATGCTTATGTTTATCTCGTTCAGGACTGGAGTACCGCTCTGCCGTGGTGCCACCCGGACCAAGGCGCCTCAGCACAGTAATGACCATATCAATAAGGTTGAATTCCACCTTTCGTAAAGATACATTTTTTGCCATTTGCTTTGTTACTTCTCCGTCACTTCTCTATGTTAGCAACACAGTCCGATACCCAAGTAAATGAAGATGTCTGAGAGCAGGTGGTAAGCGACGACGAATGACCAGCGACTGACTAGCTAAGTCCTGTACCTTATGTGATGACCGTCGGCTCCTCCCTCTTCAAGAACTCCTTCAGCTTGCTAATCTCTAACGCGACCTCAATGAGCCCCTTAAGGCCCTCCGCCGTCTCCCTCGTCAACTCCTTATCGCCCTTGCTCGGGTCCACATACCGCTCCACGTACATCCGCACCGTCGCGCCCTGACTACCGGTACCACTCAGGCGCCACACGACGCGGCTGCCGTCCTCGAAGCGCACGACCTGCCCCTGGTTCTTGCTCACGCTCTTGTCGATCGGGTCCGTGTAGTCGAAGTTGTACGCCTCGGACACGACGAAGGTCTCCCCAGTCGATTTGGAGCTGAACTTGGAGCCGATGAGCGACTTGGAGGTGATGCCCTGGTTGATGTGCGCGACCATCTCGTTTGCCCCATCCGAGGGGACCTCCTCGTAGTCGTACCGCGAGAAGAAGTTGCGCCCGTACACTTTGTAGTGCTTCTGCAAGATCTCCTTGATGCCCACCAGCTCATTCGGGGACTCCCTGTTGGCCGCGGCCAGGATATTAAGCCATGCTGGACAACTCGAGATGTTGAGCAAGTAGACAGAACACAGTGCGATATACACCTACCGATGATAGCCCAGACACCGTCCTTTTCACGAATGTGGTCAGAACCGGTACCGAAAGACTCTTCTCCGCAAATGGACAGCCTGCCGGCATCCATCAGGTTACCGAAGAACTTCCAGCCTGTCGATCAATTCAGTTCTCGATCACTACCTCTGCCTCCGTCCCGACGCGTCAAGCAGATCATCCTCACCAGTGGGCACCTCGAAGCACTCCAGTCCCTTCTTCTTCGCAACCAAATCGATGGCAGCGCTGGTGGGCATACTCCTGGCCAGACCCTTGACGCCGCCCTTCTTGAAGTACGGAATGCGGTCGGCCCAGTCGGCGATGATGGCAACCGAGTCGCTGGGGGTGACGAACGCGCCCTTGCCGTAGATCATGTTCCGGTCACCGTCGCCGTCACTGGCCGCGCCAAAGTGGATGCCGTCCTTCTCGACTTTGTCAACGAGCGACTTGGCGTAGGTCAGGTTCGGATCGGGGTGGCCTCCGCCAAAGTCGGGCAGGGGCACGTCGTTCTGCACGACAGACGGGGACAGGCCGAGCGTCTCGACGAGGATGGCCTTGCCGTAGGGCCCCGTGACGCCGTGCAAGCCGTCGAAGAGCACCTTGAATTCGCCCGAGCGGGTGGTGAGGAAGGACTTGATGAGATCGAAATCGAAGATCTCCTGCAGCATCTGGACATAGTCCTTCACCGAGTCGATGATCTCCACCTTCATCCCCGCAAACTGCTTCGCGCCCAGCGTGCTCAGGTCGAGGTCCTTCTCGCCCTCGACAACTTTATAGCTGCTGATCGTCTTCGTCTTCTCAAATATCTTGTTCGTGACGTTCTCCGGCGCAGGCCCGCCGTTGCTCACGTTGTACTTAATGCCGAAGTCGTTGTTGGGCCCGCCGGGGTTGTGCGACGCGGTCAGGAGGATGCCACCGTCGGCTTTGTACTTGCGGATGACGTTGGACGCAGCGGGGGTGGAGAGAATACCATCGTGACCAATGATCAGCTTCGCGACGCCATTTGCAGCCGCGATGCGCAGGATAGTCTGCACGGTCTCCTTCACCAGGTACCGACCGTCACCACCGATGACAAGGGTCGCCCCTTTGGCGGTAATCGAGTCCAAGATGGATTGAATGAAGTTCTCAGTGTAATGCTGCGAGCAACGCTAGAATGAGGTTCTTCCGTAAGAAAGACGCGTGAATTCGTACCTCCTGCTGGAATATCTTCACGCTGACCGACAAACACACCGGTAGTCAGTCCCCATACAGCCTACCGTCGTTCTTCGTGCTCACCGCTTGCGCAGCCCCGACGTGCCAGGCTTCTGGCCGTCGTAGGGCTTTGTGGGTATCTCCTTGATTTGCGGGGCCATCGATGGTGAACGTTCGCTGAGCCGTTCTGGAGCATTGCAGGGCCTCCTATATACTTTCTGCTATCGAGATTCATATCGGTGATGTCACGAGCAACGTGACTTGAAGAAGCGTTTCACGTGATTGAACGCGTCTGTGGCTTCTGAATTTTTTGCTCTTCTAGATCTTTCCTTCGAGCTGAGCACTTTTGACTCAAAAAAAATTCGCGGTCGAGTTATGTGGACACATCTGTCAGGCTTGTCATAGCATCAAGCCGACTTAGACTGGTAAGTCTATACCACATGGTTCGCTTCGAAAGGTCACCCTTTTGACGATGGAATGAGGAGATAGTCACGCGAACGGTATTGTATGCAGAGTAACATGCACCCTTCCCATGAATATGCTCCAGGATTGCTTGGATTCCTCTGATGGATCTGAGAAAGTACAGATATATCCGACTTGGAATCGTTCAATTTCTCAGATTTCTATCCGAACATAACCCGAAGCGAACGTGCCAGTGCAACAATAGAGGAATTTTAGGGAATCGATCTGACCGTAGCCGTGTAAAGAGTACAGAGCGTATACTACCTTCTCAACGCTCAGATTCCTGGACGCTTGACAATCTCCGTTCCTACTGAAAGTCTATGGTGGCAGCAATCTGCCCTCGTCATCAAACATCGTAAGGGAACTTTCGCCTGAGAAAAATATCAACACTCACCTCTAAAACTGCCTTGTCAACTCTTGCGGCGAGAATCCGATTGAAGGCCGTCAGGTCTTTAAGGCCTTTGCCGAAATCCCGACAGAAGGAACAGTGACTTGATGCGATATTATATGCCGCGTTAGCAAATAACCGCGGACTGGTCACCTCCATCCCACAAGGAGCCCTCATCAACTCTTGTCCGATGCTGGCCATATAGGTGTCCCACCATGCTCTGGGCCACACCATGACACCTTGCACATTGATTTCCCTCGAGCTTTGGCTACACTGCGAACAGGAGAAAAAAGCCCAACTCCTCTGGATTGTGTCGCATTCCGACATCCATGATAGATTCGTGACGACCGAGCTTGCGGACACTGAAGCTTTATCCTTCAGTTCCCACAAAGCACGGGTCGCTGAGGCGGTGATACTCCTGAGCTCCCTCACGTTAGGCCCCGGCAGACCCTTGTAGCACGTATACATGGCGGCTACCCTGGTCTCCTCCTCGAAACCGTGATAGCAGGTTATCGCAAAGACCCGCAGCGGTTCTTCCTCCAGGAAGACCTGCGATACAAGCTTCTTGCGTAACAGCTCCAGCACACTCTCCATTTGGTACTTCACCGCGGCCTCAAGCACTGGCTTGAGCGCATCCAATGTTTCCAGGGCCGGCGGAGCGACGGGATAGACAAGCCGGAGCAGCTTGTCGATCGTCTCGCTGTCTTCCGACACTGAAATCACCGTGCGGCTCTGAGTCTCTCCACCATGGTCTCCGACTTTGGCATCGGGAGACACTCCCATGCTTTCGGCCTCGGAGGCGTCGTTGTGCAGCGGTGATGCGATGGCGAGGATGGCCTTGTGGACCAGGAAGTCGACGCCGTCGGTGGTGCGGAAAATGAGGTCTGCAGAGTCCCTGTCGAAGGGAGGGCTGGCGGTGCGCATGGTCGACATACGTGCGGATGGCGGATACTGAGTGAAGTGGTTAACAGGCGTGCAGCTTATGGGCATGGCAATCCTGAGGCGATATTTATCTGACTCGACTTCCACACGTGTACACCCTGAAACCTAATTTTGTCAGCTACATAATGATGGCGGGTAGAAGCGTACGAGACGACCGAGCCTGAGGAGACCGAGATCCTGAGCGTTGTGCGCTCGATCAAGTCCGTGCTGTGAAATATTAACACAGGATTCGGCCATCTCAGACCAGAAGAGGTACGTTTGTAGGATCCCTGGCTAGCAAGTAGCAGGGGGCACCGATCATCTGCGACTCGAAGGTTCTACCGCAATGTTCTCTTAGGTCTGACGTGAGACATTCACACCGAGCCTTGCCCCGCAAGGAGGCGCGACTCTGCAGGCCCAGCCATAGAACAACATGAGGTTCAAGTAAAGGTGCTAAGGACGGGCCGGATTAGAACCAGATCATCGCAACCCCATTAACAGAGAGTCGCAGCCAGTATGGATCTCCCTTGCAGGACGGCTCCCACCTCCGTTCCTTCAGGTTCTAAAGAAACCTGTTCGACGATATTTTCATCTATCTCGAGAGGCAAGAGAGCCAAATGGAATACTCACTTGCGACACAGCATCGTCTATTTTCTGAGATAGCTGAAGGCTCAGAAGGTGGAGATCCCGAGCACTGCCCGACTCAAAGACCCCACAGCTCACCGCCGACTCCTGAAGAGACCTGTCATGGCAGAAGTCGACGGCTGATTGGCTGCAGGGATGTTCTCGCAACCTTTCCTTCAGTGCTTTGATGGATTCTACCCACCACTGGCACACCCGCACTACTCGTGACTTACAGGATCGGACCCGTCTCTGGGACTCGCAGTGTCCTTGACATGTGAGAAAGTTCGGTCTCAGAGCTCCGGAAGGCAATTCTAGAAAGATATGCGTATCGGCGAGGCTCGCTGCAGAGTCCCCGCAATTCTCGTGGTATTGCAGGAGTCGTATGTAAGTGGTGGCGGGAATGCCCTCAAGTGCGCTTGGGCTGTCTGGATGCCACAGCTTTCTCCTCTGGAGTTGGAGTGTCGCTCTGGCTGCCGATCTAGCTTCCTCAGGTAAGTGATACAGGCATGCTAGAGTATACACCCTAAGAGGTGACGCTTCTAGGTGTTTGGGCGACGCCAGCGAGATCTGCGCGAGCGACATCAGGGGCGCCATCTCTTACTTCGTAATGGCTGCCAACAGTAACTTGATATCATTGATGTCCTCCAAGACCGGCACATGCCCCGGATAGCATAGTCGAAGTAAGGTATCCACAGTTTTCTGCTCTTCCTCCACTTCAACGACAGGCAAGGCATCTGTCTTGTGTGTATCTTTGACATCTCCAGGCTGGGGTAGAGTGAACATGCTGCTGAAGAAGGGGGAGGCTACGCTCAACATGATCTTGCAGAAACGGAAGTCGACATTGTCTCTCAACCGTATGATGATGTCTATCGGACGCAGGACCCGCAGAGGCAGAACTTGAAGCGTTCATAGTGGTAAATAGGGCGCTAGTGGGCGGATGGTTAGCTGCCTACAGGCGTAGTTATAGTCCGGCGGTAAGATACATTCGCTGGTTTTCGTGTCTTCAGAGAGAACGTCGTGCACGAGGTCTGCACGAGGTGTGAACCCACACCTTAAAGCGATTACAAGTACAGGGATCGCCAATTCATGCAGATGGTCGTCATTGGCCTTTGTATTGCCGCGAGATCAGGTGGCAGTTTGTTCCCACCGCTAATTCTAGGACAGGATGTATGTCCCTACGCGAGCGAAGCACGGGGTAATATGTGCTAGATGAATGGTCCTCGAGGCGCCGTGATGGAGAGTCTAGTTCCACTGCGGATCCGTGACTTGAATTGAGCTGAGCAATTGTTGTATTGACAGAACGGCGCAAGGAAACTTACATTTCTGACTGGGTCAGAAGCTTCTGCATCAAAAATTCTAGTTCAAGACTACCTAGAGGATGCGCATGAATTCTGCACCCTGTCGCTAAAGTTTTGCAATGGGAATCCTTACCTTCGAGACGACAGAATCAGCGTACTGAGCGAATTGCTCGGCATACTCCACAAGTGTGGTCGTAGCAATGGCGGCTCTGCAGGACTCGCAGGACAGCGGGGTCGACATGAAGTCTTTGTCGAACGCCAAAGTACGGGCTTGCAGGATTGACGGGTGGTATGCGAGAAAACTGCAAATACTCTTCACGAGGCCAGGAAACCAGCCGTGAACATAACCGATACCCGAAATCTTGAGAGAGTTCGACGATCCGTAGCCACACTTCAACTTGGGTAGCACGCTCGACGAAGCTAACCAATCCGTGAAGGCTGGATCAGACAGATTGAGCCCCCCAAGAGCTGTCCCACACTTGTAGTGATAATGGAGCAATTGGGCGTACTCTCCCCCCGAAATGCAGGCTAGAGTTGGACGGGAAACGTACAGCTCATGGCGAGGGAGGCGGAGACAAGACCGCGCAGCTGTGGCGGCTTCATTCCTGAGCTTGGCGCGCAACGCAACAGCATACACCCCTATAGGATCTTCTTCGACATGGGACATCACATCAAGTTTCACGGCACAAACCAGCCACTCCATGTTATACTTGGCAGCGAGGTCGAATAGAGCGACAGCGTCCATCAGATTCGCCGGCTCCGACGGACGCCCAGGGTAACACCACTGTAACAACAGACGGAGCATCATCTTATCCTCTGCCATCTGCACGACTGGAGGCTCTTCCGCCCCGGCCCTGGTGTCATCGGGTTGGGGCAGAGTGAGCATCCCTTCGAAGAACGGGGATGCGAGGGATAAGACGGATCTGTAGACGCGGAAGTCGACGTCGCATGAACGAAGTATGAGGTCCGCATCCGCCCTGTCGAAGGGCGGTGCAGCTATCGTGATAGGAGACTGGTGTTCGCTTGCAGCCATAGTGCTTGTGTGCGGGATTAGACTCTGTTATTGAGGAAGCCACAGTATCGCCGCGCATTTATAGACAGTGGCGAACTGAGGGCACGAGGGGGGCACGAGGACTGTGGCAAGGGAACCATCGGAGTCTGTCTTGCGCGTGGAGGGAGTTAAGACGGAGGGACGAAGAAATCACTGGGCCTTCTCTGTATCCTTTGGCGGTCAATCAGACGATGCAAGAGCACCTCAGGTTAGCTGGGTTGAGGGACCCATCCAAAGCGAGTCCAAGCATAGTCCATCCTTACCTGATCATGACATACGACTTAGCAGCGGGTTCAGATTATATGTCGAACCGTGAACGCTAGAGCGAGTCTTCCGCCGAGGGGAGACCATGAGGTCAGAAACCAAGGTCTAAGACAACATAACGATCACGCGCTAGGTCATTCCGAGACTCCTCACTAGTAGTGGTAAAGGACACTGCTCGAAGATAACAGAGTCGGCTTTCTTGGCGAATGCCTTGGCAAATGCGCTCGCAGGGTGCGCGGTATCATCGAGGGGTCTACCACAGTACGCGCACATCGCACGAGGTGCGCATTCATAAACCGAGTCTCAGGTCAGATCTGCATTGCTATCAGAACCGAATGGGTGGTTGCTCCTACCGTTATTATTTGGACATGGTGACAGTCCCTGCGCGAACATGTAGAGGTTGGTAACAATCGCGGAGGTGGAACAGTCAACGAAACAGGCCTGCTACAAACAAGAGACCGCCAGGCAGCACACTCCTTACCAACCCGCACCTGCAAGCCGAGTAGACCTTGTTCGTAATCGGGCCTTTAGGACATAAGATGATAGATGTCCCTGGACAAGCAGGGGCACTCCGATATCAAAGGCCCAAGTCTAAGACAATCTACGGAATGGACATGGATTCAGCGCCCAGTCATACTATATTCTCGCAACATACACTCTTTTCTTCGAGACGACGATATCGGCGTACTGGGCGAATTGCTCGGCATATTCCAGAAGTGTGTTCGTCGCGACGGTATCGCCACAACTTTTGCAGGTCATGGGAGCCGACAGGATGTTCTTATCGAAGGTGAGAGTTCGAACTTTCAGGGTTGATGGCTGGTATTCGAGGTAGCTCGAGATGCTCTGTGCGAAGTCGCGATACCAGGTATGATCATAATTGCGGTATGCGCATTTCATTCCGGGCAGCGGGACAGACATGGCCCACCTCATGAACTCTAGTTTGGATGGCCCAAGTTCCCGGAGTGCTTGCCCGCAATCATAATGGTACTGAAGCAGCTTGGTGTAGACGTTCACGGAAATGTGGCTGAGCATTGGGTGGTAAATGTACAGTTTGTGACGGGGAAGGCGGAGACATGAACGCGCAGCGGCTACCGCCTCGCTTTTGAGCTTGAAGCGCATCGCAACAGCATATACACCAACGGCATCTTCTTCGGCATGCGACACCAAGTCACGCTTCACGCAGGAAACTAGCCACTCCTCGAAGTCGTGCTTCTCAGCGAATTCGAGTAGGGCAACCATGTCCGTCAGATCCTTCAACTCCAGTCGACGCCCCGGGTAGCAAAACTGCAACACAAGGTAGAGCGTCCGCTCATCTTCTGTCATCTGCACGACAGGAGGCTCACTCGCCCCGACCTTGGGACCGGGTTGGGGCAGAGTGAACATCGTCTCGAAGACCGGGGATACGAGGGACAGGACGGACTTGTAGACGCGGAAGTCTATGCCGTCGCACGAACGGAGCACGAGGTCCGCATCTGGCCTGTCGAACGGAGGTGAAGCGGTCTTGATCGCGGCCTGTGCTTCAGCCATTGCTGTGATCTGTCGGGTGCGGAATGAAGGGTGCTTGGTGCTGGGGGACAGAAGTTAACGCAGGAATGGGGGCCTTAAGTACTGGATCCAGCAGCGCAGCTCGGAGGCAGCGGCCTCAGAGAGCTGCAGTGCTGGATGCTGGTCGAGGAACGAGTCAGGCATTCGAATTCTGGAATTCGAAGACTGGACAAAGCTTCCCCAGATACAGGTGGCAGGTGTATTGGGGCAGATGACACTATTACAGCCTCAGCTTCCGGTATCGGTGGGGTGCCGCCGACCAGCTTAAGCAGACCATCAGTCGCACTTGGTGGTGTTTCCTCGCAGTATAGTTCAACTAAGAAGGCCAACAGTCGGGGAATAATAAAAACAATCAGGCTAGGTCCAGGTGGCCAGTACTAGGGGCTCTAAGTCCCTCAGTCATCGGAAGCAATGCAGCGAGGTCGTGGTTCAAGCTCAAGTTCTGATCAGAGGCTATGGCCATTGATTCGAAACGTATGTACAGTATGCAGTACATCTTCTACTGGACACTCGACCTATAGCAAGATACAAAGGCGTACGAATGGGCCTAAGAGTTGCATATGGAGGCACTACTATATGAAAGTATGTAAATCCACACCACGCCCCGAGAGGAGAACAACACTAGCGACATGCAGCCCGATCGATACATATGTGCAACGGTCCAAATTCAGAAAGAAGAGGGGAGAAACACCAAAGAACCAAAACGCGAGCGACCACGGGAAAGTGAGTATAAGTTGAAGAATGTGCAATAAGAGTAGCAGCGTATTCGTGTGCAATTAATTTGGTTGCAATCCTAAGTAATAGGGGAAAGGCGATAAGTCATTTGTAAGAAGACAACAACACCAGCAGCAGCGACGAGAAGGGAGAGACGGAGGGATTGTCATATACAGATGACGCGGGAAACTTGAGGTGAATGGTGACAGGGATGATATGGTGCAGGCGTTATCGTACATCTCAACTTCAAGCAGAGACAGGTGAAAGGACTTGATGGTTGTGATCGCGGCGTATCGTCGTCAGACATCAATTGGACGCCCAGAACGAGCCAAGGAAACCTTTAGCAGAGGAGACAGCGCGGCCCATGAGACCAGACTGATCTAGCCCATCTGCAGATCCCTTTCGTTGATGTGTCGGACTAGGCAGAGAACTAGACATAGAGTTCGACTTCGTATGCGCAGGCGTAGACGAGCATTGACCAGATGGTGGCGAGGTCATGGTAACAGCACTTGGCAGAGCAGGATTGGGTGGTGCTATAGGAAACGCAGGCTTCAACGAAGACACAGGCGAGCTCGCAGGCGTCGGATTCCGAGATCGCTGCTCGTCCTCCTCAGGTATAGGCGGCGGCAAATCAATATGCGCAGGTTTCGCCAGGGAAGACCCGGACGAGTCCTTGCCATGCCCACTGGACGACGCCTCCGCCCTGTCACCGAAATGGCTAGACGAAGGCACCTGGGGACTAGGCGGGCTTAGACTCTCATTGAGTCTGCGGCCCGTGCGATCCCGGCCCCGCTCTCGTCCGCTGATAGAGTCCTCGCTCCCGGCTCTCGAAGGCGTGCGCGGGTAGCTTCCCCTTCCTTCCCGCCCTCGCGAATCCCTTCCGTAGTGGCCTGCCCCGATAGCAGCGCTCGACCCGCAAGGGGATATGCTGCCCATCGGCGAGTCCGTACTGCGACTGCCTCTCGACCCTGACCGCCCACGATCCGAATACGACGAACTGCGAGTGACCGACCGCCCGCGCAGCTCACCGCCCGAGACAACCTGGGGCGAGCGCCCTCTACTTGGCGGTATTTCCGGGGGCGACAACAGATTGGGCGACGGCGGCTGGACATGCGCCGAGCTAACGCGGGGCACCGGCACGGGCGTCGAGACCGACTTCGGTTGGACAGGACTAGCACTCTCGTCTCCCTCCCCCGACTGGTCCACGCCCACCATGGGCTCGGACACGAGCTCCGTGCGCTCCTCCATGACCACGTCCTCGTCGCGCTCACTACTCCGCCCGATCGGCACGCTCGACGCGCCACCCTGCGCATACCTCAGGACACCGCCCGGCGTGTGCCCCGCGTCCTCCGACGAGCGCGGGAAGCGCACGCGCCGCGACGCGTACTCTTCCCCGTAACTCGCGCCCTCAAAGTAATCATACGCGTCCACCTCCGCCCCGTCCACCTCGTGCCGCGGCGACTCCACGACGGGCACCGCGTGCGTCGCGTACACGCTCCGCGGCTGCGCCGAGGGCACGATGCCCACGCTCGGTATATTCCTGGGCGACGTCGACGGCGAGGAGACGGACGACGACGACTGCGAGCCGGTGCCGACGCTGAGGTACGCCTCGCGGTGCTGGTACACGTCCTCGACGCTGCTCCGCCGGCTCACCGTGCGCGAGCCCGGCAGGGAGTTGCTGTAGTTGCTCCCGATCGGGGGCACGTACACAAGGTCGACCTTCCGCGGCGAGCTGTCGCCACTCCGGGAGTCGCTGTCGTACTCGGATCCGTTGACGCCGGTGGTTTTCAGGATGGTCGGGGCGATGGGTGCGATCGTGACGTGCTCCTTGTCGAGCGAGTCCATGCGGATGAGCGCCGGGCGGCCGCCGCGCGAGGAGTGGGAGGAGGAGGAGCGCGATCTCGACGAACGCATCTCGAGCACCTCGTCGTCTTCTTCGTCCGATTCCGACGAATTGCGCCCGTGCGGGAACCACGCCGGCTCCTCGTAGAAGTCCTCGTAATGAATATCCTCCATGTCTGCGTCCTCATCGTACCTAAGTAGTAGCAGTCAGATATCATTCCAAAAAGGCAGGGTCAAATATCGACGCACCCCTCGTCAAACTCTGGCTGGTAAAACCGCACGCTGCCACCCGTGGGCCCCCGCTTCAACGTGGGCTTCTCGATGGCAATGCACTGCTCCACGAACGTATTGAAGGTGATGTGCTTCTTCTTACCGCCATTCGCTCCTGCACCCGTGCTATGCGAATCGCGGTCGCTTCCAGGGGTATCCCCCGCTGCACTTGTGCTCGAGACGTCGCTGTGTGCGTCTGCATGACTGAGGGCCTGTCCGGCTTCCTCCATGGGATTCTCGACCGGAGCAATTATTCGCGGGGGGCTGTCCTTTCTGAACTCTGGGTGATTCTTCCGGAGGCGGACGATATGCGTGTCGCTCTTCGTATGGAGTAGAGGGGGTCGGCTCGGAGAATCTGTACCTGTCCGCTGCCCCTGCCCGTGCTGTTTCCTCTCCTCCTCCTCTTCCTCATCGTCATGGGGGAACTCGGCGCTGGGAAATCGGGGAGAAGAGGGTAGTGATAGCAGCTCGCCAATACTGCGGTGCTTTAATATAGGTTTCTTGCCTGCCAAAGAGGCGCTCGAGTTACACCTCTGCATCGTCGCTAGCGAACCCGTCGAGTCTCGTCGAGCCCGTTGAGAAAGGCCATCGGATTTGGGTGGTGAGCCCGATGGTGGTGACCAGTCTTGGCCAATGTGCAGAGGTCCGTACAGCCAAGTAACATCCGAATCTTTCAGCCTGAGGGAGTGAACACGGTTAGCGGGGTGAAGGGTATGATACGTAAAGTGAAAGAGCAGAAGCAGATCTGTCGCTACAGGACGAGTGCCTGGACGAGAATGCGATGTCAATGTTATCAAGCAATACAGACATCTTGTATCATCACAGCGTGCCTGCAGGCGCACAGCGCGCTATCGGCTACCTGCGCGCCACTCGTATATCACACAACGAATCACACATGACGAGCTCCCGCAAATACGATAACAAGTATGAAAGACGATAATGGCGCAGGACGACTCACCAATTAAGCGATTCAGGGCTGATCGTCTTCAACCCATTTCTTTGCTTCCACCACGTCCGCCAGCTCGCATTTTCGAGCCTGGCGCCGTTGGCGATCGCGTTTCTCTGCTTGGTCATGCTCCGCCATGACCGCCAAACGTCCTCCTCGCGCCACTGATGAGAAAGGTAGTCTACTTGTCCGCTGGGAACGGTGTCGAAGGACGAGTCGTCGGGGAAGGCATTAGTCGTGACTGAAACGAGGAGCGCGGGTAGATAGTTGGCCATCAACAACAGCGCGCGTGCGGTGACCAGCAGCTAGCTGTGTCGAAGATGCGCAAGACAGCGCCGGGGAAAGAGTCGCGGTGAAAGGAACGGGCAAAGGGCGAGGGAAAAAGGCGAGAAAGGCACAAGACGCGGCTGGTTCGTTCGTCCCGGACGGCCGAAGCAGGCTTGTCGATGGGGAAAGGGGCGAGTACGCTGTCGGGCACGACGTGCGGGCGCGTAAGTGTCGAGTGATGGATAGCTAGCAAGGCTAGAGTGGCATGGTGCCCCGTCGGTGTGATGACGATTTTGTTGGTGGGGTGGCCATAATTCCTGTTCTGCCCGCCCCTTCACATGACCGGCCCGACCTGCACGCCTACTGCCCCCGGCGGCTGCTGCCCCCGGCGTCCCCGGCCGCCCGGCCTTGCCCCTTTTGGTTTTCCTCGCCAGAAACCAGCCAGTCCTCGCCCATCCGGTGCAGCAAAAACATATCGCCTCTGCATGATTTCTGAAATTTTTTTGCCAGGTCCGATTGCATGTTCATACACGGCGCAAAGTGCCTGAGGAGATTCTTTCTCCCGCCGACGCCCACAACGCCTTCGCTTGCGCCCGGCCTGGCTTCGCTCCCGCCCAACCCGGCCTCTTTTGGCCCATATGCTTCCCCCGCCCGCCGTATCAACAGCCACGACCAGGCGAGCCTACTGCCTACTGTAGCCGTCCTTGTTGGCAGCAACCGGCCGGGTCCCTCCCTGCGCCGTCTGCCAATTCTGCCATCTGGTGAAGTCTCGCCTTGCAATTGACTCACATGTACTCAGAAATATCGGCCTCTGGTAGACTGGTGCATTTGCACTCGGATCCCGGAAGGACCTTGTATACTGCACAGCCATCGCTGAGAACCATCATCTATCACAGCACCGAGTCTGCAGCGGGCGGACGCATGCCGTACCACGGAAGCTACCGCGGCACCTTCACAGCGTCCTCCAATTGGACTGCCCTCTCGTCCTGGCTGTAGGAACAGAATGGTACGTAGATCCGAAGTAAACGCGGACAGCTGAGGGTCCGTGGTTGCCAGTAACCACGGAACACCGTCAAATGAGCCGCCCAGGTATGTGTCCCCGTCAATATGAATACGTTACCCTGACATTGAAACCGCACAGAACACTGCGGACCTTGGACCGAGAATCAGGTGGCAACATATCTTTCGTGGTACCGTTTCATGTCCCGCCCAGGAGCCGTCCACCCGGCTACTCCCTGCTACAAAGAAACTAATATTCAAACGGAGCGGATGCGGGGTAAATGAACGCGGGGAAACGTTCTTTGACCCAACTTAGCCTGACTTCCCCAACACGCCCAAATACGGCTAGGCATGTCCTTGATTCCCTGCCCATGTCACCCCCGCCTGTCGCGGAGCCAGACACGGCCGACGCGGATATGTCGCTATGCTTGTTATCGTAAAGAGCGCCCCCTTGTCCTATTACTGTGTCCCTCTCTGGACCCAACTCCACGGTAAGGAAGATGTTGTGGTAGGCACTGCGCGCGGAACAGCGGGGGAGCCGTCTGCTATGATGCGTGGAACCAACAATAGCCTGAGCCGCGCCAATATTCCACCTCAAATCCACATTCATGCATATTGGAGGCGCCGCCCCCACTGCATATCCACTGGCAGGAAACCGGAATGCAAAACGGCTCGCTTAGCGTCCTTGTGACCATACTTGAGCGAGCAATCGTTTACCGAGAACATATCACGGGCTCGGGCGCGACAAACGACATGCGATCCACCGGCGTGGATCCTGTCAGACATTCCATGATCCCTCCAACATTCAGCAGCATAATACTTGCTTCAGACAACATTCGGCACCCAGCTGCAGTACTTCCAGAGATATACACCGCTCCCTGTGGTCCACCCGGACCCACAGTCCTTGGCCCTTCGCGTCTCCGGAGCACCTGGCACTTGCCGCGGTTACACCGATCCGTTGCATGCCCCGATCCGAGGCTTCCATCTGGGCTGGGATCTCTGATCAGTCCACGTGAGCCTCCTCGATCACATACGGGATCAGGTGGCCCTTTGCTATCTTGCGTTAAGACGCGAGACGCCTTCTGCCCCGCACGACGGTCGAGGGTGGCGCTTCTCCTGGGCAGCGTCGGGGATGGTCGGAAACGTCTGGTTTCACATGGATCGCACCCGGCGTACTACTCATGAGTCGTCAGCCTTCCTCCAGGTTACTCAGCGTACTGGCAAGCCCCGGAACTGTACGACTTCGTCTCAGCTTTGATTCGGTTGGCTGGCTAGATCGCTCGCAGAATCTGCAAGTTTCATGTTCGACTTCGCTCCTTTACTCGGGAACATTCGCGAAAGGACGAACACTAAGCTACCTACCGAGGACGACCTTGGTCGAACAGCGGGCACGTTCGTCGACGCTCCTATCCCCTACCAGGACCCTCGAGGCTTCCTCAGACTGGTCTTCCTTCCGAAACCGCAGCTTCTGAAGCTCAGTACCTGACGAAACGAACAAGCGCCCCTCCGACGGGACCTTTGCACGATCTGGGCCCGCGGCGACGATAGCATCCCAAGGTTAACGATTCGACATCTTAGGTTATCTGCGCAGTGCATCTGTTCTGGACCAGGCCAACCCTCTATCTTTAGTCGTGTTCCACCGGTGTCCAATATATGAACGTTGAGAACGGTAACCAGGACCGTGAACGCAGCTGGTCCTGTACTCGAGGCAGACGATTCAGCCCCACTGGCCCGCCTCGTTGCACGGCTGTTTGATTTGCAGACGGTAGGATACCTTCGCCTGTCTCCCGACGACGGGCCGAATTCGCTGTGCGGACATCTTTCAAGACTGGTAGGGCATCCTCTTTAAGCTTGGATCAGGAACCAGGAGCAGCTGCGGTGTCATGCCCTCTCCATGACATCAACTCGCGCGACACTACCAGCGCAATATTAACGGTTTACGGTTGCCGAGCAGCACCAGGTCTATTTCGCGAATGCCATTGCTCAAGTGCACGATCTTACGTATCCGGACCCCGGAAATACAATACTGATCTCGGCGGTGTGGGACCCGGAGACCCTCCTTTCGCAGCTCCTCATGCCTACTTGAATTTGCCCTCCAGCTATGCTCCGGGTCAAGAGCAGTGATAGAAGACTGAAGCCAGTAATTAATTTTGCTGCTGTATTGTTGAAGGACCCTTACTATCCGAGATCCAAGTTTCTGCGTGCCGGTTGCACTTGCTGGGCGAGCTGAAGTCCATTGACCCGCACCCCGAGTCCGGCGCCTTCGGGAGTTCACGAAAGTCGGACCCGTAGAAGTTGCAAATTCTAGCAAAATTAAAGTACAGTAATACAGTAGCGCAGCATAGTATGGTATAATATGCTATTGCTAAAGGATTGGGACTCGCTGACAAGTTACGACAAGTACAGATCCAAATCAAGTGTCACCATAGATCTCGCTTGAAAAGCAGAGAGTCGAGAAGCTCTTCAGTTCCCGGCTACGGATGTTCCTGGACTTCCCGGAGTCTCACTGGGACCCCCATGATACTTGCTCTACGCCTCAAGCGCTCTCTAGAGCAGTCATGCACACTTTCTGTATTCTGTAGCTGTGTCTTATACTTTAGCAAGTCATACATAGGCCATACACAGTAGAGAAATGCTCAGAAACTGTGCTGGAGAAGGAGTCCGGCGATGCAGTCAGGGGACTGACCAGACCTCGCACAGCCACTCATGGACCCCAGCGGGATGTAAAGGCACCCTGACGAAGTGAAATGCACTTTGGAAAATAGACCTGGTGCTGCTCGGCAACCGTACGGTTCGGCGTTCTTCGGTTATCTGTGCGTGCGTTGCGACCTGCAGCCGGCGCGTCTATCTTTAGTCGTGCTCCACTCGTCCAATAACGAGAAGCTTCGGAAGGGGGAGCTGGAGCGCCGCGAACCGTAAACGCATCCCCGAAAAAATTGGTCGACTCTGATTACTATGCTGCAGGCTCTGTGCTCGAGGCGGACGAGCCAGCAACGCTGCGGCGTACCGACGTTTTGTCAGCAGACGGCAGCACCTCGTTAAGTCTGAGTCACTACTCAGGAAGAGCAAGCTACTTCCCTGATCACCCTTGCCGCTGCGGTGCTTATACCCTTCGATGAGAGTCGCGGCCACTCTACCAGTGTAAGACTAACGATTCGGCTTCACAGGTTATCTGCACAGCATCCGTTCTAGCCTCCCATCGAATACCTCCATCTTTGCTCCACCAGAATCCAATACGCGAAGGTTAAGAAGGGGAAGCTGCACTGCGTATAAGCACTGCCATGAATTGGTTGACAGTTGACTGCGATTGCTATGCTGCTGGCTCTGGACTTTGCTCGCCGTTCACCAGTTCCTCGATGATACAGCTCCCCCCAGGTCTGCTTCGTTGTTCGGCCATTTTATTTCAAGACGCAGATGGACAGGACACCCTCGCAAGTTCCGGAGCAGTACTGCCCTCTGAATAGGTGACCACCTTGGGGGGCGAACCTTGCGAGTGCGGTGCCTACGCCACGATCGATCCGGTCTGCCTGCTACGGACGTGTACAAGCACTACTTGTGTTTTTCCTCATGGGTGTGATCAGCACGTAAAGGTGAAGGCAATCGCCGAATAACGGCATGCTGCCGTTGCTCGAGGCCCCAGACTTCTTGCGTCCCAAGTATAACTATGACAGCTTCAAGCAATGCGTCCTCTCGCACGCAAGCTTCGCCTTCAGGCCCCCATTTCAGAAAAAAAGCAGCAAACATGCAAGCCACGGACAGCAAGGAAGCTGGGCCGCCCTTCGACAAGGCGACCGCAGACGTCGTCATCCGCTCTTCCGACAACATCCATTTCCGTGTTCACACACTCATCCTGTCCATGGTATCCGACTTCTTCTCCGCCATGTTCACTCTCCCCCAATCGGATCAATTCGAAACGTGGAAGGGCCTCCCGGTCGTGACCGTCGAGGAAGACAGCCACGCCATCGAGCTGTTGCTTCTGACATTGTATCCCGCGTGCTCCCCCTCCCTAAACAAGCTCGCCGACGTGCACGCCGTTCTGAAGGCTGCTATGAAATACCAAATGGACGCCCTGGTGCCTCGCATAAAAGAGGCGCTTGTAGCAACACAGCATCTCGAGGCAAGCCCCGTCGCGGTCTTTGCTATTGCCTATAGCCAAGGTCTCGAGGAAGAAGCTGTGAAGGCTGCGAGGGCCACGCTCCGGCTTCCGATGCGTGACTTGTATCTCACTCGTACGTCGGAGCTTGGCTTGATCCCAGCAGACGCATTCCAGCGGCTCCTGGAGTATCACGACGAGTGCGGCAGAGTCGTTAACAGGCTCTTCCCAGGCGCCGATTTCACTCCATGGCTCCCCTGGGCGGTTGAAACCCAGTATATATTCTTCCTTTGCACGAACAACAAATGCTTCGGTAAGGTTCTGCCCAACTTCTTCACGAACGGTCATGCCGTGTATGCAAAGGACTGGTGGTCGGGCTTTATGGAAGACGCGGCCAGCGTACTGCGCGAGGAACCGCGCAGCACCGCGCTGACGGACCACAGCTTCCTTGAGAAATACATTCTGAAGGCCATGAAGTGCGAGCAATGTCGTCTCGCTGCCGCAGCAGAATTGTGGAGATTCAGTTCTGTTCTCGTGGATAAGATTGAAGACGACATATCCAAGGCAATATCGCATTATTGCTTGATAGCGACCAGAGCGAAGCTAACCAAAACGCGTATACAGGTTCGGCTCGGTATCCGGTTCTCCGGGTAGGCGCTATTGAAGCTGCTACTAGGATCATGTTATGTTTTTTTGGATTGGACACACCCATGTAGGCTAGTGCATATTTCCGATACAGCATAGGGAAGTCCCCCCTTAGCCCGCTTTTGGAAGTGAACCCCACCCAAACGAGTAGCTGGGCGCCGCAGCAGTGGTAAACCACGTGCGTGGACCTTGCCGAATATACGGCAAGGAATAAGGCGGTAGGGCCGTGCGAGCACGGCAGAGCCCGCTACCGTAGATATAGATGATATTTGGTAGCAAGCTGAACACTTTACCTCCTGAGCAGTGTCATATATATCTATTTTGCGAAAGCAGCTGTGTTCCAGCAATTATTTCAGACTGAGCATTCAACTCAATGGTCAGAGATGTCCACTCATCCCTCCCTCAGATTCGAGAATACAAGTTACATATGCAAAACAACTGACATCGGAGTATTCTGATTTCACCTTGAGACCGCAAGGTCCAAGGCCCCAAGCAAGGTCAGTTCTGTCTCTGAGTCCCTTGACATTCATCCGCCACCTTGGCTATAAAGGGGAAGAGAAATGACACGTGGCATGACTATCGGGGTCCTTTAAGGACCCCATCTTTGATTGGTCCAAAGCCCTGTCCCGCTCTTGCCGTTCACCATATACGGTTAAGCGCCAAATAGTGTCAAATAAATCGCGTAGATCTTGAAACGATCGCAGGAAACCTGCGAACGGCCGGGGGGTCCAAGACCCACTACCTACGGTAGCGGGAACTTCGTGCTGTTGACTCCTCGTTGTGCTCGCAGTACTATAACCTAGTAGTTGTAATTTGTCCTGTAGATAATGTACCAGGGGAAGCTACTGAGCTTTGGGACTCCCCATTGACAGTAGGAGACAGTCTGAAAAGCTACAGTTCTCTCAGCGTGATTTTTGATCCCAGTAAGGCTTCTACTGGGCCACATTTAGTGCCTCGACCCCCCCACTTTAAAGGAATTGTGTACATGAGGTTCTATGCGCTCTTGCGCATTCAGCGCGTATGTTATAGGCAGTATAACCCTCGGTGTAGGGTAGAGGAACCGTTGAAGAGGTCGAGACTATATACGTGCCGAGGCCCGGCAGATGCCAACCATGTGCATCTGCCATTTTGGGCGGAGAATCCTGCCTTTTTGAGCACGCGCGAGAGCCTGGGGGGGACTTCTGCGACGCTGATACTAAACGGGTACAAGCCTCCATTAAAGACAGTTGCTCGTCTACTAAGTCTTTTTTAAGAGGCGCAGGATCAAGCCTACACCCATGGATCTGTTCCGTAATGGATCAAGCCTGGTGCTCGGGCACTCACTATATTGTAGAAGGGTCGTGAGCGAGCTGTGGCAGCGCGTGCTAGCTCGGGGGTAGGCTATGCGCAATACTATTATTCAATACCATTATTGAATATAGCTAAGTATCTTAATGGTATCTTAGTTGTAAAATGGGACTCCGAGACGTGGAATGTGGCTTGAAGCGGCTTCGATGGATGCCGAGTAGGATGCGCCACCTGCGCGTCGCGACTGCATACTCTTTACCATGTCCTTGCATTTCCCCACTTCCTTGTCCTTTGCGCGTTCACTGCGCGTACGTACTCCGGTATATGGATGCAGACGGCTTGGACTGTTTCGAGGGAAGTCGACGGTTAAACAGCATTTCCGTCCGTTTTCTGTGTACACAGCACTTCGCTCTGATCGGGATAATAAGCCAAACTCCACCCGACTTGAAGAGAGACGCAGCAAACCTATTCGCGAGAACGTATACACATGGCCGAATCTCTTGACGATGTCTCGCATCGCTGCCTGTCCCGTCTTAGGCTATGCCATCGTTAAAGGCGACTTCTACATCGCGACGTCCCTGCTCGTGTATGCCGGGTTAACGGACTTCGTACGTGCTCTGGTCGACCTTCTATTATTGACGCATTCACATAACTCAAGGTTTGTCGCCGGGAAGGTAGATGGGTTCCTTGCTCGACGGTATAACATGCGTTCCGTCCTGGGCACCATCCTCGATCCCGCCGCAGACAAGACGCTGATGACTACACTCACCATCACTTTGGCGGTCAAGGGAATGCTCCCTGGTCGGTAGACTCCTTACTTGTGTATACTTTGGCTCGCCGACCGAGGGGGGGTTGTTGCTCGTACAGTCCCACTTGCCGTGATCATCCTAGGTCGAGACGTCGCGCTGTCTCTATCCGCCTTCTACATCCGCTATACGTCTCTTCCCGCACCTGTACGTCCTATGTTGCTCTCATCCTTCATCATCTGATTTTTGTAAAGAAAACATGGGCTCGCTACTGGGACTTCTCCCTGCCGTCTGCAGAAGTGCGACCCACTGAAATAAGCAAGGTGGGATGACTGCCGTCATGATACTTAACGTTGTAATCCTCTTGGCGGCCTAGGTCAATACTGCTCTTCAACTGGTCTTGATGGGGACTACCACGATTTCACCGCTTCTGCCTACGGATATTTCGTTACCTTTGCAGGGACTACAGTACGTATCATGCTGTCCTGCTGCATCCGCACTGACACTTGCGTCGTGTTGAACGTAGATGGATCGTCGCAGCCACGACGATATGGTCGGGTCTCTCCTACGTCTTTTCTAAAGACGCTGTAAGGATCATCGCACAACACAGAGTGCGTCGCAAAGGGCCTTCTGATGGTGGACCGCAGAAATGAATGCAAAGAGCATGCAAGTCCAAACCGGCCAACGCCTCGCTTGGATGATACTTCATTCCAGGATTTGCACTGGCTAAGGCTACCTGGCGTCTCCGTGCAACATTAGGGGGTTACAGGGCGGTACATATGCAAAGAAACTCTCATAAGAATGATACAGTAAGATATTACATGACCAACGCGAATAGCCTAAATATCATGGGAAATTACAACATGTCCCCTACATTCCACTGTGTATCATATAATCTTAGGCGCATGCTATGAAGGTTGCACTCGTCTTCTTCTGACCTCCTCTAGTGCTTCTGTCACAGCTTGCCTGGAAGAACACTCCGCTCTCCATTTGTCACTCGCTCGCCTGCAAACCACCGGTGAGTATGGGGAACACCATAGGCAGCTGAGCATGCTTACTTCACTCTAGAGGCGAAGATGACTGAAAGCGCAACGCTCTTCAGTGACCTCTGTCTCGCCCTTGGAGGTTCAGGAGGAGCGGCAAAGCCCACTCGAGCTATAGCTGCTAGTATCCTTTGCTCGCTGCCGTAAGATCCTCCGTAGTCAGTGCAACCCTGTAATTTCGAGCGGAGGATCAACTCACCTCTTTTCGAACTTAGCCAGAAGAACTAATAAGTAACGCTTCTGATACCCGAGGTCGCATCTCAACGCTGACTCGCGGGTGAACTTGGCCTTGAGATATCGGATCTGGACGATGAGACCTTTGCATTCTTTATTATGCCGGAGTTTCAGTGCGGACAGTTGCTCTTCGTCACTAAGGATGGAGATACACGTTAGTATGTCACTGAACCGTGCCGCGGGAAGACTCACATCGCGCAGACATGACCTTGCCACTTATCGCATGCCGTCTTTGCTTTATCCAACTGCTCTCCGAGCACTTTGGCTTTGGCCTCAACTTGCTTCTCCCTTCGCCGCGCTTTTCCAATCTCGTCTTCCATCTTGACCTTTTCTGCGCGCAGCTGCTTAAGGTCTCTGCCAAATGCTTCGGCCTCTTTCTTAACCCGGCGCAGGTCTTCCTCCAGCGCGGCAATGGCAGCAGCTGCAGAGCGGTTGTTCTCGGCCTGGGCGCGATGGTGTTCAAGTTCTGAAGCTTGAGCAGACAGAGCTTGGCGAAGATCATCCACTTCATGCAAAGCCATGTCCAGTTGATGACGCCGACTCTCGTGGGATGTTTGCGAAGCGGCGTACTCGTCACGCAACTGGTTGAGATGCTATGTCCCTATGTGAGCATTGCAATGGGCACAACCAGAAATTTCCTCACCTCAGAGACCTCGGTAAACTGGCGCTGCAGTTTCTTGTGGTCGGCAACCAAGAGAGAGCGCTCTTCTCGCAACTGCTGGATAGTCTCCGCATTCTGCGCCACTTTCACGTCCAGCAGCCTTGCCTTCTGTTCCGACGTGGCGTTGGCTGTACCACGGTCAATTCATGAAGTCGCTTGATTGACCGGAGTGAGTCTTACCTCGCAACTCGGCTTCAAGCTGGTGGTTCTCTTCCTTTGCGTCTTGCAATTGTCGTTTGACATCATCCATGTCCTGTGTCCAACCGTTTAACCACAAAGGAGGATCGGAAGAACGTGCGCCAACGTACTGATTCTGTCCTCTGTAGTTGAAGGAGAATGTCATCTTTCTCCCGTTCAATTCGACCACGCTCGGACGTCAAACCACGGAGGCGGGAGCGTTCTGCCTTCAACTCTTGTTCAAGCTCAGATACAACTCTCTTGGTCTTGTCAAGTTCCTAAGAAACGCCATGAAACTGATCAATGAAAGCTCTCACAACGATCGAAAGTAGCGCACAGTCTGGAGACTATATTTCGCCTGCTCGTTAGCACGATGGTCCTGTTTGACCTTCTTGGCCTCACTGCTGGCCTCTGCCACTTGTAGGTTAAGCCTGTTGGCTGCATCTTGAAGGACGGCTTTCTCCCCAAGGAGCTGCCTTTTCTCTTCTGCCCATTGCTTCTTCATGGACTCCAGCTCCTGGTTCACAGCACGCAAATTGGCACGCAGGGCATCGCTCGTCTTCGTCGGTGGAGTAGGGGGGTCCGTTGCAAAGCTGGCCATTGATATGTCCACGGAACTAGAAGGCGCCATGTCAGCCGCATGCCATAACAAAGATGCAGGTGAGCATCATACCTGTCGTTACCCTCCGCTGCCCTATTCAAGCTACGTAGGTCCAATTTGTGGTGACATTTCGTGCATCGTACGCGCTGCAAGCGGCGAAGTCTCCTCTCATCCCTCCGGGAGAGTCTACCGATCTCGTCTTCCAGATTGATTATCCGGTTCCGGGCGTCGTCTAGTCTCTTGGTAAGCTCGACAACGCCCAATCCAGCGTCTTCGAGTTTCTCGATCTTCTCGTCGATGCTTTCATTCGCTCGATCGAGTTCGTCCTGCAAACGCGAGATTTCTGCTAGCAACGGTGCGACAGATTGCTCGATCTCGGTACTTTGCAGCCAAGACAACTTAAGAATTTGGGAAAATATGTCACTCCTCTGCTAAAGCTACAAAAGATAGCCGTACCTCTCTCAGAGGACCGCCAGGGGTCTTTGGACTCTTGAACGACAGGACGTGCCTCCGCATGGGGGACACTCCAGACATGTTGCTAAGATTAGCGAACCTGCTTGGAGTCGTAGCAGCGTTCATGGCGCTCTTCAACGATTTGATTCGCTCGAGCAACTCCTCCTTCTCATTTTCGAGAAGCTCAATCTTAGCGTCCTTGGCCTTCTCTATCGCCTTCCGCGCCGGAGACTGTTGTGTCGTCGCTTTGAGCTTAGCAATCTCTTTATGGGCCTCCTGTAGCTCAGCTTCAAGAGCGTCTACATCCGCGTCGGGCTCGCCGAATCTGATGCTCTTAGAGGGATCAGCCCGATTCCTCGCGTCCTCGAGCTCCCACTCCAAGGAGGCAATCTTAGCCTTGAGGTTGGCGGTCTGCGTCTCGTCTTCTAGCATCCTGGTTTCGGCCGCTTCGAGGGCGTCCTCCATCTGCCTGGCTAGTTCGCCAGCGCGTTCTGCCTGGCCTTCGAGCTCCTCGACGTCCTTCTCGAGGGATTCTATAGCACCGTGGGCGTGTTCCAAGTCTGCTTCGGCCTGGTGCAGCTTCTCATTTGCTTCAGCGAGTTCCCGCTCCCGGGCAGCTCTTTCGGCCTCTGCCTCCGCAAGGCGGGCCTGGGCGTCATGCAGCTGCTGCACGGTCTGCACATGCTCTTCCTCCAACTCAGCGAAGCGCCCCTCGGCGTCATCGGCGTCCGTGTACATCCGCTGCATGTCTTCCGCAGACTCCTTGGCGGCGTGTTTCTCCTCTGCGAGTTGGTGCTGAAGGGCGTCCAACCGCTCATTGCTGAGGATAACGTCCTCCTCGAGCTGCTTGATCTGCATATTCGCACCGCGGAGGTCTGCCATAGCTTGGGCTAGCCTGTCGTTAGCATGCCTCAGCTCGCTGCCCAACTCCTTCCCGCTCTCGAGGACCTGCTCCGCTTTCTCAGCCCTTTGCAGAGCCATGTCTCGTTCGTCCTCGACAGCGGCCAGCATCGCCTGTAGGCTTCGGAGCTCCCTCTGCATGTTGCTCTCCACAGCCTTGGCATTGCCCTCCGCCTCGCGGACTTGACGCTCTAGTTCCTTGACGATGTCGCTCACGCCTTTCTCCACCTCGCCCATCTTCTCCTTCCACCGCTCCTTGTCCTTCGCCCGCTCCTCCTTCTCCTCCTGCAAGCCGCGCTCGAGCTGCTCCTTCTCCGCCGTCACGCCCTGCAGCTTGTCCTTCAGTTCCTCGACCATGTCCTCCAGCACCGCCTTCTCCTCGCCGCCCTCGCTGACGTCGCCCAGGGAGCTAACTGCGCTCACCCGCCTCCCCCCACTTACCCTCCTGGCCGTCAGCCCAGACCCACCCCCACCGCCATCCGACCCCGTCCCCCGCTCCTCCTCCAGCTGCCGCAGCCTCTGCACGAGCACCTCGTTCTCCTCCTGCAGCCGCCGATTCAACCCATGCAAATACGTGTTCAACTTCGTCGCATTGAACCGCCCGACGCCGTGGCCCTCCCTCCCGAGGCCCACTACAGGGTCGAAGGAGGTGTTCGCGCGTGCGTGCGTCGTGAGGTCGTGCGAGGAGGCGGTGGAGATGAACGACGCGCGCTCGCCGGCGGAGTCGTACGGGGACTGCGAGAGCACCTCGTCGGACCCCGACGCCTCCTCCGCGACCCACCCCTGCGCGAGCGGGTGCGATAACCGGCCCCCGGCGCGCGGGCGCGGGCGGGGCGTCACCCCCGCGAACAGCTTCGCCCCGGGTGCGGGCGTCAGTAGGTTCTGGGAGACGCTGCTTGCATCCGCAACGCCGCGGTTGGGATGCGGAGTGGCCTTGATCCGCGGGCGCGCGGTGGAGTTAATCACGGAGAGGAGGAACGAGCGTTTGTGCGCGACGGGTGTGAGCGGATCGTCTGCGCCTCGCAGGTTCTGCTGCTGATCGTCGGCATCTTCTTCGTCTTCGTCCTCTCCGATATAGGCAGAAACGCTCAGAGGCGTCTCAGGCGCTGTGGGGAGGCTGAACCGCGCGCGGGGGCGGGGGCGCGCCTGGAACGCGGGGGTGGGGGTGAACGTGATCGACGGCGCGGGGGAGGAGAACGCGACGGAGAGAGGGGCGGGGGAGTGCAGGTTGCTTTGTGGGTTCCTCGCGGTCAGGCCTTCCTCTGAGGAGAACGTCGGCTCTCTTTCGTCCTGGCTCTGGCTTTGGGTTTCACTCTGGCCAGCTCGAGATTCGCCAGTTTGAGACCCGTCAATATTGAGATCCGAATATTGTTGGAACTGCTGGGTGTGATTGGGCTGCGACAGGGACAGGTCGGCTTCGGAGTCCGTCGGGAGGTCGGGGTGTTCCAAACCAGATATGCCCTCGTGTTGTGGGACTCCAGGCGCGTACTCGGTCACATCCACGTCGTTCGTCGTTTCCTGCTCACGCGCCCACGAGTTCTCGTGCGCTCTCCCCCTTTGAGCACCACCGACAGCGGGCGATGCATTGGCTGAGCGCTGTAGCGGGATGTTCGTGGCCGAGGCGGGGTGGGGCGAGGCGGAGCCAGCGCGCGAGAGGTTGACGGAGTTTCCGCTGCGTGGGGTAGAGTTACTGGGAGACGATTCGGGTGAGGGCGTCGTGCGCGAGAGGGAGGGTGTCCGCGTGCGAGCGGCCGGTCGGCGGAACGAGACGTTCTTCAGCTTGTCGAAGGGGGAAGGCTGCAGTATAGTATAATCAGTCGGAAGCTGAGTGTGCCAGCGTTTTGAGGGGAGCGTACCTTAGGCTCCGACCGTAAGCTGACGGAGTAGTCATAGTTCTTCTTTGGGGTCGGCTTTCCGCTGGGTGCGTGTGTAGGACGCGGGGAGTTGCTGCGACTCACAGGTTCGAGAGCGTCGGAGAGCGACAAGTCCTGTAGTTCGTCTTCCTCAGCGTTACTAGTAGCAGCGCCGGACTTGAAGTTTCTGTGCCTTTCCGCAACGTCTTCCTCCTCCATGTCTCTCTCCGCCGCCTCCCGTGTCACGTTAGGGATGCTAGGAATGATACTGACGTCAAAGCTGTCCTGGTCTTGTCGATGGCTAGAGCTCGCTCTGGACACAGAGAGCGCAGACTTGGTCGCAGTGGACCGAGAGGCAATCGAATTCGCGAAACGTTGGGTACTAGACGTGCTGGACGGCGGGCGGATGGTAGAACGGGTTGCGCCATGGACTGACGAGACGGCGGGCGTCGAGTGTATGGGCAAAAAGTCTCCGCTATCGTTGGCGTCGTCCTGACTTTCCGACTGCGAGTCGCTGGCAGCAGAGTCTTCGAACACGGGCAGAGATGGCAGGGACGGCATTTCTTCGTTTTCGACGGCCTGTATACGCCGCCATATCCTGGACGGCGTCTCCAGCTGCACGCCCTGCATTATTCTTTGTTTGTTTCCAAAGCACGGTGTTTTCAGAGGTGCAGGACGAGCGAAGGAAGCGAGATGGTGGCAGGTTTCAGAACTCAACGCGACGCGACGCGTCGGGCTCAACGGCACGTGACAGGTGACATTGCGTCTCAATCACTGGCAACTCTGCTGCTGCGCTCTCGCAGTCGGGGACCGTTAGCTGCAAGTGCAGCAACCCTTTTGATACTGTGTTTTACACGGCATATCTAGGGCTTCTAGGGCTGCTTGCGAATATGACTTACCAGGCTCATATGCGGTTTGCAGCACGTCTGCCCAGGCGGAAGGTCGCGCGAGAATAATTCTTGTCTCACAGATGGGCCAGTAGCCTCAGGGTCGGATATCCTTTGTGCAGCGTCGGCGTCTAGCTGCGTTTTACCAGTCAGTCAGCGCCATGTCTCGGGTAAGGCTTCTCCACTGTCGACTCGACAGCGCATTCGGTGCTTAACGAGCGAGGCGCCTATCAGATTCTGTCCAGCCTACCGTCAAGTCTTGACATGGCCAGCAAATGACATGTCTACTTATGCCGTATCTATGTAGCAGTTCGCAAAGCGATTTGTCTGCTATTCGCCGCGCCGCGCAAGTCGAACATTTGCCCGGCATGCCGTCCTCGTACATCTGCTCGTTGACGGGCGGTGTTCCCTGTGTGCCCGCTAGGCTATATCAAATGTGATTATCACTACGCACGTCCTGGTCCTTTAGCCAAAGATTCGGAGGTGCGAGTTTCTTTTGCTTTAGAAAGCACACTCCGGCTTCACCGGTGTTTGGACGGGCGCTGACAGCAATAACCTGACAATCCATCCAATTGTTGAACCCCGACTCCCTGCACCCGATCATGCATCTACGTCGATTGAGCTCTGCGTACTACTTATTCCATCGCCAGGCCCTGTACTCTGCCATATTCTTTCCCAACCAATCATACAACTCCTCCCGGTCCCGACACGTCCGTTCCCGGCCCCAGGCCACCGTCCCGTCCTCTCTCACTGGCTCCAGCTGTATATTTGCGTGGCACAGGATCATCTGGCGCAGATAATTGAGACAGTGCTGTACATGCCCGTCCCCATGGCCCTCTTGGACGAGCGCCCGCCGGACGCTCTGCATGCAGTGCATCTCGTGGAACGCGGACAGCGCGAAGAGGCGCTTGGAAGGGCCGAGGCGGACGAAGCCGTTGCCGTCGGGGAACACCGACGCCCAGTCGTGTTCGTCTTCCTCGGAGCTGATCCCGAAGTGAGTCGTGTTCTCGTGGAGTGTCCATGTCGATTTGCTCAGCGTCAGAGGCAAGTAATCCGGGAAATCGAGGTCGTCGTATGCTGTCGTCCAGGGTATACGTTAGTGTTCTGCTGCGGGTCGAAGAGCATTATTCTCACTATAGTGATGAGACTTTGCCCAACTCGAAATATTCTTGAACAGATACCACAAGTTCATTGCGGTCAGGGATGCGATTATGGCGATACAGATAGCTGGGAATATGGGCCAATTGCCCTGCCGAGTGGCTTTCGTGTGTTGTCCCATCAGCGGTCTGCTATGCTACCAGGGATCGTAGTTGTCCTCGAACCTTCTCCATTATGAAGGTTGGGTGGGCGATCGGCTCACTGTGAAGTGCGTCTTCTGGAGTCAGACACCGCACAGTGCCTCCAACGGCACGCATGATCAGAAGGTCGTCTCTAGAAGCTGGCGGGTCCTGTTCTGGTCATCGGGGTGCTAATGTCGGAGCCTTGGGATATGTGCCGAATCGAATTGGTAACGTTGTCCCGTAATGGTAGGCAGCTATGTTTAGGTATGATGGTCCCTCGGGCATGAGCGACTCGTGCTGATTATCTCCAGTTAGGTGGATCATTTGAGAAGGGGGGGGCCTAGGGAGTTCCACAGGCAATGATAAGTACCAGAGAGTGTCTATGATCAGTGAGGCCTATGGTCATCGGTGAGAAACCTATCGGATGCCTCGAATGTCACGTTCAACCAGGTCTGTACAGGAGACGTACCCTCGCAGAGGTCAACATGTCCTTGAGCACCACGTCTCTCGAAGACAACGGGCGTCAAGAAAACCGTCGGGACTACGGGACGGCGCAGCTTGTCTGGCTCGGTGCTCTCGTTGTGCTTACGAATTTATTGGTGTTTCGCTTCAAGATGGGTAACATGGCAGACGCGTGGTTCACAAGCTTCTACTCGTACGGTACGTAGATTCAGATGAGAGCCAGGCTCCTGGCACACGAAACATTTAGTTGATTTAAACCTCCCACTCAGACTACGCCGCCGATGATTTTCCCGAATCATATCCCATCGGACCACTCCCTGAGGCGCAGCTGATCATTGAAGACACCGTCCACTACCAAATCAACACAGAGGACGCAGACGAACACTGGGCCTCCATGTTTCCGAGCGGGGGCGGATTCGTGCACCTCGGTCCCCACTACCGCGCGTTCGGCATATCGATGTTCCACCAGCTCGCGTGTCTCAATGACATCCGCCAGACGCTTGCAACCCCCTTGGCGGACCGGACTGCCGCCCAGCTGGAGAGCAATCATCGCTGCTTCAATTACTTAAGGCAGACGCTGCTGTGCGAGCCGGAGCTGAGGCTGGAGCCGGAGAGCGATAAGCTGAATGAGCTGGGCCTCAATGAGGTTGTTGACGGGTTGGGGATGAAGCATTCGTGCAGGGATTGGACGGTGGTCTACGAAGCGATGGAGAGCAACTATAATGACACGAAAGAACATGACCAATCGGTACATACTTTTATTCTTCCATAGACGACCTGAAAAGGTGTGCATCTGAGGGATCACGATGTAATAATCTTGCGGATAGTATTGAATCGAACCATGTCAGCGTAAGTGTGCAGCAGCTACATACACACTATCACGATTTCATTATGACTGAAATCCTTTATGGAGTTTTCGCACTTCAATTTATACCTAATTTGACTGGAACTCGACGCTTAGGGCACGGCTAGATCTAAATTCTTTCAGGCTTGACTCTGCAAACTATTTCACCTAGTACCCTGACCTCCGTCTGCACCATCGCCCGCATCTACGGTGACATGAGAATCGACGACAGCGTCGGGTGCAGAATAACGGCAACCTACATGTTTCGATGGCCCAAGCTGCAGTGACTGGAGGATCTGCTAGAAGGACGTAAGTGACCACAACCATCAACAGATAATTAAACACACCACGCTTGTTGGCACCCGCGCCAGGGTCTGGGTGTGATTTTAGGCATGCCCCAACAGAAATAAAGTGAAATGACGCACAGGCCACCAGTCTCCAGTCACTACCGTGAGCTAGGAGAATATTAGCAGACGCAATAACGAGCACCTGTTGGACAAACCGCGTTTCTCTGCCCCCTGAGGTCCGTCCGCGTCAGACGTTTCGTCTACATATACATCCATATTGAGCTGTTTATAGTGGCCCCGTAGCTGTCAACATACATTCCGCTGCAGCCCATTTAGCAGGAACATCAGCTCCTAGAGGCAGGATCGCCTTCAGTAACTCATGTCACGGACTCATGGGCTTACCAGTGATTGCCGCAGCTGTAGCCCTCATGAAGCATAATGACGCCATGGTGGCCGCAACGAAGGCAGTCAAAGCAAGACGAACCATGGTAGAAGATGGGTTCTACAGTTCTTCTGTAGTACTTATACCAGAGGTCGTAATCGAAGAGCGAATTTATACTTCCTCCCGAGAGAAGATCAGCGACCGGACGATGGGTATCAGGGTACCGAACATAAGCTCAATACCCTTCTCGGTCTGTGGCTTGTAATAGATGGAGAAGAAGAGAACTCAGGCTGATTCTGGCTCTCAAACCAGCACCGGAGGTAAACTCGGCCGGATGTGAACATTGAAAATGGTACGAACAACAACACAATGCGGTATAGGTATTTTTTTCGTATGGCTTCCACGGAGAACATTACAGAGCGTATGCCAACAACGTCATCATGTGCCATGCTGGCATATCTACTACCCTGAAGTAAGTACTATGCCCGCAGGTGTCGGCATGTTCTGTCATGAGCGCCTTGGTGGCGCACATTTTCATAGCCGCATTGTGACGTTAGGTCACCAGGTGATAGCGTTCTGGAAAAACAGACCTGCCAATTGCCGCCAACCTGTCGTCAAATCAACACATGCTTGATGTTTCGATGAACTCCGGTGAGGGCAGTATACTCAAACCTTACTAAAGCAGATGTCAGGAACAAGCTCTGAACAAATCCCAAAGAGAGATTCCCCATGCCCACGTAGGTTCCCATTGTTTGCTATGTATATGCAGGAACTCGAATTCATGGCAATGGTATTAATGATGTGGACCTTAGTCCTCAGACCGCCTAAGTATATCTTGCCGGGCGGCTCCGATGCCGCTTTCATTGTCCGGTTACCTCCGATCTGGATCCTTTCATCAGATTCTGACATTCATCAAGTCCAAGTCGAACCTGACAGCCTGCGAGTCTTGGTCGAATATGTCGAATGACTGGCCGCGACTGTAAGCCAGTGAATGGGAATGCTCGGTGTCCTGGGGAACTACTGGGTTCGCCGTTTATGCTGCGCATCGTACTGGGATACAAGTCAACCTGGCGAATCAAGACTTAGTTAATACTGGCAGTCATCCTGGTCTCCCTTTGTTAACAACCTTGGAATCCTGCTATCTCCATGTCTGACGACTCGGAATCTCGGCCCTTGCTCGCGGAAAGGTTCCATGACACCACCTCTAGTAATGACACCGATGTTCAGATCCAAGGGAGTTGCCTGGCAGACCGCCGGAGCGTGCTCTCCATAGTAAGTGGTCGTTCCGAATGAAAAGACATGTAGTTGTATGCTGTATGCAACGATTGGAAACCCAATGCCTCCACGGGTCTCGCTAGGAGTTCAGGTTTGGCATTCTAACTCGGTTCTTCTAGGTTCTTCCCCTGGCTATCGGTGTCTTCCTGACTGCGCTGGACACCACCATCGTCGTGTCTTCATATGCGTCCATTGGCAGCCAATTCAACCAACTAGAAAATACTAGTTGGATTGCAAGTGGATATGTGCTTACGGTAACCAGTTTTCAGTGAGCCATTCCATCGTGCTTCTCCATAGCGGCTCTGCGAATTGTAAAATAGACCTTTGTACGGGAAGTTGAGCGACATCTTCGGACGCAAGCCATGCTTGCTGACAGCCTACGTGTTCTTTGGCGTCGGATGTTTGCTCTGTGGAGTTGCGAAAGACATGTATTGGTTAATTGCTGCCCGAGCAATGTCGGGCATAGGCGGCGGAGGTATATTGACGTAAGTGGCAAACAACGTGACATTGACAGAATACGTCTCTGACTAGTGCGAATGCAGGGTTGGGTCCATCATAGTGTCTGATGTAGTTCCATTACGCTCAAGGGGTACCTGGCAAGGTATCGCCCTCTTTAGGGACCGTTCATCACTGGAGCTGACACGGGTCCTCAGGTATTCTCAATATCATCTTTGCTACTGGGCAAGTCACTGGCTCTCCGCTAGGCGGGGCTTTTGCCGATAGTATAGGCTGGAGATGGTCAGTAACATTGCGGTCCCTTCCCACTCTGTGTCCCATTGTTTCCCCATCGGACAGGGTGTTCCTCCTTCAAGTTCCCTTAACTGCAGCGGCCTTTTTGTCAGTCAGCCTGGTCCTGAAGCTTCCTACGAAAGCTTCGGAAGAGGACTTCTACTCCCGACTCAAGCGGGTGGATTTTGCTGGTGCAGCGGCCCTCATATCCTCGATCTTCTTCCTCCTGCTGGGTCTTGATAGAGGCGGTAATATCGCCTGGTTAGACTCAGTTACAGTCTCTTGCCTCGTTATATCCCTCATTTCATTCTGCTTCCTCGCCATCGTCGAGTTCAAGCTAGCTCGGGAACCCTTCGCACCGGCACGCATCATGCTGTCATCGTCCCTCTCCAGCCCGTTTATGTGCAACTTCTTTGGTACCATGTCCTTCATGTGTCTCTTCTACCAGCTACCCTTATACTTCCAGGTGGTACAAAGTATGACTGCCTCGCAAGCTGGCTTGGGACTGTTGCCCACTATCTTTGCCGGGACGCTCGGTAGTTTGACCGGGGGGCTGATCATCCAGGCCACTGGAAAATACTATATCCTCACTGTGTGCATGTACGGCACAATGTTGGTGGGAACGGTTCTCATAGCGTTAATCACCGGTCACATTGGCTATTCACTGGTTGGGATTATAGTTGGTGAGGCCACCGCTCTCCCGTGCCTCGACCTTCTTTTTTGATGGCTACGCTCGACTACAGGTTTGGTTCTCATGTCCCTTGGCAATGGTAAGTTTACACTATGAACTCCCCTTCGTTAGCCTATTCACTGCCTCAGGCACCGGTGTCACTACAACTCTAGTCGCCCTAATAGCGAATGCTGGGCCTCAAGACCAAGCTGTCGCGATCGCCGGTACATGCTTGGCCTCCCTGTGAAGAGAAGATGGTTCACTGACTTCCACCAGTATCGTACCTTTATCGGTCTTTGGGCCAGGTGATCGGGATATCAGTGGGCAGTACTCTTATCCAGAACGAACTTCGACATCTCTTGGGGCAACGCCTGACCGGGTATGACCTGGATGTGGAACAGGTACGCAGCATATCTTCCAGCGCGTGATTCTCGAATACAGAGACGTTTAGGTTGCACGGCGAGTTCGAGAATCTCTGGAATACATCAATGGACTCGATCCCGAGGTACGGGCGGTTGTGAGACAGTCATATGGCGATGCTTTTCCTTTCGCCTTCTCTTTTTCGGTCGCTACGGCTGTAGCTGCGTTATGCGCCGCCTTCTTTGTTAAGGAGAAGAGTCTTTCGAAACCACGTCCGTCCCAGGAGTCATCTGATGAATAAGTCTGTTTTGGAAGGACGTTATTACCGCTTGGAAGGGGTGAGAAGATGAAGATAGGGGTAAAGGAAATGGGTAAGTATGTTGTACTTCCGTGCATGACATACACAAGTGCTTTACCACCTCTTCGCGAGTTGAGCCTCTATGTGCACCTAAGGTAGCTATCGTTAACTCTGTTTCATGAATCAGCGGTCTGCTATCTGAGACGGACGCCCTACATGAACTGTGATTGATTTCTTTCTGTTCACAGGTAACCGTAACCCAATGTAAGCACATTTCCCTCACAGGGTTCGAGGCGCAGTTCACAAACCCCGGCTACATCTGATGGCGACTCTGATCGACAGATCCTTCGCAGGCCCGGGGTCCTGTCAACCTACTTATCGCGGCTCCTAGATTTCTGCAACGTCTCATCTGTTTCCAACTGCCCCTGCCGATCTAACTTATTCTTGCACCACCTGCTAATCCGCACACCTTTCACAGGACAAATGGGTTGTCACTGACTTAACGAATACCCGCTGTTAGTGAGACGCAGGTCATAGCCAAACCAGATATCTCGTTCCCATCATGGGGCGCTCATCACGACCTCGGCATATTATGTCCCGTGTTGGTCCAGAGCTGGAACACCGGAACAATGCGCTCAAAGATAGTGGTCTGGGAAACAAAAGCAATCTCTCCTGCCAAAGGAGCCGGCCCGCAGGGTTTTGCATTGCTTACTGGCAGGCACGTCAGTACGTCTCATGAACTTTGATGTCTAAGTATAGAATCGGGTCCGCAGATACAGCTTAATGCAGGGCTGTCATCGTCGTGAATGATCATATCTTTCATACGTGGGTGACGGACAATTGAGTTCTCTGCGAATCACCGCAAAAAGAGAGCAAGGCAGCGATAAATAAGTATGCATGGCGTGCTGAGATTGAGCCGTATCCTTGTGAGCACGCTTCGAAGACTTGTTTGCGATGGCTTACCCTGTAGACAAAGCCTGGCTGGTGGGAATTTTGGTGGAAGGTGTCCTATACGGTGAAACCATTGCGGCCCTCCTGTGCTCGATAGAGCTGACTGCTCAACGAAGGAATCCACATCGTCCTGTTTGGGTTCTCCCTGACTTTCCTCGTCTGGCGAAGGGGCAAAACTAACATTAATTGGCTCATGCTTCTGTCGACCTGCGTTATATTCTGCGCCTCGACTGCTCACTTCGGTGTAGCGTTCAATAACCTCGTCACTGCATTTGTGAGCTTCGTTGTATCCATCCCTTCTGCTACTAAGCTTGCATCCATAACTTCTGTCCCCATGGCAGATCACTAAACGAGACGAACCTGGAGGGCCTGCAGCCGTCATCAACAGTGCAGACCTTGTGTTTCCAATAAATCTCATGTTCAGTATCAACAACTTCTTGGGAGATTGTATCCTGGTTCGCTTTCCTAGAAATTTATCGCTTACTTCTGCTCATTGATGCGCCTCCAGACATATCGGTGCTGGGTAGTGTGGCAAAAAGACTTACGTGTCGCACTGGTCCCTATCCTCCTTCTACTCGTCTACGTCGGTGAGTGATCAAATACTCTAAGCTTTTCATATCCTCACCAGGTCAAGCACAGCTTCCGCTATTGTGGGGTTGTACAACTTTCATCAAGAGGCAAAATATGGCAATCACTTCACCGCTGGCATCGCCGATTTTGGCACTGCTTCTTTTGCTATCTCTCTCGCTCTTAACATTCTCATGACGTCCCTCATCGCTGGAAGAATCTATTCTCTCGCTCGGCAGAATAGGATTGCTCTCTCGGCTCGCCACACGAAACAATACATGTCGATCATAGGCATCATCCTCGAATCTGGTGCTCTGTTCACTGCGGCTCAAGTCGTCTTCCTGGCGATATGGCATCAAAGCACTATCCATCATGCAACAGGTGCCGATGCGATCACGGCAGTCATGGTGGCACAAGTATATGTGAGTGTTTGCGCAGTTGCTAGGTACCATCATATTCACAAGACTTCTGGGATATAGTGCATCGTGCCCACTCTTATAATCGTTCGAGTGGGGTCGGGATCGTCGTACGACAACACTTCAGCCCTCGGGGGCTCTCAAAAGCCCGTTAGCACTATCAAGTTCAGCACCAGGTCGCCTGCAGCAGAAGATAGCAAAGCAGGAACGGATTCACAGACAGCAGTTAGTTCAATGTACTATGCCTCTCGTTCAGTTACCGAGGCCGACGTCAACGACCTGTCACTTGTACGAGTTAAAGCTGAAAATGTGTAGCATCGGTGCGTATTCTAGTTATGTAAGTGCGTAGACCCCCGCATGTCGTATTACTATTTCTCGGAAAGACGGTCACTTTTAATTTCCCCTGTAATACTTTCGGTCACTGCGAATCGAGTCTGGCGGTGTTCTGACAATAATGTGTAATGAGTGGAAGAACAAAATACTACTACGTCGGTGGCATATGTAGCTTTAGCGCCTTAATGCCCAGCATGCATCCCGTTCCACAACCTACCAGGCAAGCCGAACATTCCTCCCCTCCGGCAAATCTCCTCCATGGCGTCCTGGCTTAACTCGCTTTCCATCGCACCGACAGCACTTACATTTACTGCAACACCTTTTTCCTTCTCCGGCTCGTACCTCACTGTAACCTCCAAGAGACCCGATATGGGTGGCTTTTCAGGAGAAGTCATGATTATGGTTGGACGGGAGGAAGAGAAAGTGGACAGGGATGAGTCGAAGAGAGGATGATGCGCTGGATCGGGGTCGGCTGAAGAGGCAATATAGACGTTCACGGGGATCTTCCGGGGCGTAATGGAGCCTGCCAAGTTACACTGGAGTTGGTAATCAATACAGGAGAGAATTGAAAATACACCGACCACTCAGTACGGCGTGCAGGTCTTCTTCCGTTACATCAGCATCTTCGTCTTCCGGTGGCGCTCCCGTCGGGCGGTCTTTAATATTCGCCAAACCCTCCGGCAACCATTGGCAACCGAGAAGAGTCTGGTTGAGCCATGCTTGTTCTTTCACTATCTGGTAGACAAGGTCAGCAAGCACGATCAAGTTTGACCAAGTCCCATACCTCCAAAATTCCCCAAACTTCTTTCATGTTTCTTACCTGCACCCGTTCCAGGAAGAAACCTGGTTCCTCTGGGGCAGTCAGACGGAGTTGAAGGTCCGGATGTGATGCAGTGGGGGATGTCTGGAGGTAACTCAGTAATCAGGCTGCTTAATATATTACTGTTGTGTACACACGTAGACAGCGGTGTACCTTTCAGGAGAGACCAGGTTCGAGGCATCGGGATTCAACTGTTCCGTGACGAAAGCGAACAGCACGTGAGTAAGGATTTCGATACTGCTGTACCAAGAGACGTCATAAACACGCACTAACAAGTCCACCCAGCTCCCCCCTCCGAAGCTCATCATTCCACCCATTCCACCCGCTGTCATACCCCCGAACGGATTCACGATGATTTCGATCTCATGCATCCGACTCTGAGCCATGACCATGCCCCTCGACCTCCCACCCTCCGTGAAGTCTAAGTCCCACCTATATCTCAGCGTCTCCGCCGATTCCTCACCTTGAGATTGGGGTTGAGACTGAGGGCCAGGAAAAGCATAGCCCGTCTCCTCCGGCGTGGAGAGCAAAGGGAACGTCGGCCGAGTACTCAGTGGGGGCATTTCCATCGAGTCCTCCGACATGTGGATTTGGGACTGCGCCTGCTGAACGAGGTGGAGGCTAGCTAACGTGACCCCCGGTGGCTTCGGGTGGGAGTTGAGGTAAGTGCGGAGATGAGGGACGGGTATGTCGATTGAGCTTCCTGAGGAAGACTGGCGGGTTTGGGAGGGGGAGGAGCGGAGGAGCGTGAGGTATGAAAGCGGGGAGATGTGGATGAGGAAGGACATCGTAGGAGAGTTAGTGTAAGGTAATGGCAGTGAGTGCGCACGCATGAGATAGATATCAAGGGGCGTTGGATCCAAGGATAACGATCTTCCTCGAAGGATGCTACCTGAGATCTACCGCCATGAATATGACAATGGCAATACTCACCTTGATATAGCCTCCGTCTCGCTCTTGGTTACTCCCTGAATAGAAGAAGCCAACCGATCGACCTCACCGAACCACCGTAAGCCAGAGTCTCCTTCCTTTGCAGCCAAGCTATCCAAGCTCATAAGGTACTCTAAACTCTTCGCGACGACCTTGGCCAGCCTCGCGGCTTCCGCGCAGTCCTGTGTCTCCTCGGATCTCTGCGCTTCGTCTAAGAATCGCCGAATCACTTCCATCAGGAAGATGTCGAGAGATGTCGAGCCGACAGCGTTGCTCGCCCCTGCACTCGCACTGGGCACAGCATAGCTCGTCTTCACGTTCGTCAGCGTTAACTTGGGGCCGGCCGCATCGTTCCTATCCAGAGCAACCTCGACGTCCACTACGAGGACCTTCCCTCCAAGGACCAGCAAAATCCTCCCATCGCGCTCTTCTTCTCGGAAGCACTCCATCCCCGCTGAGGTCCCCCATGTCTCCAGTCGTGAGAGACAGTAGAGAGGTATGAGAGCTCGGTCCAGAGGAATGTCTTCGATGTATTCTGTCTTATAGTGTGCTTTGCGAAGCTCTGATATCGTGTGGGCGATGCCTGTCTCCGACTACTAAATAGCACATGGGCACCTCAGCCTGACTTCTGGTAAAGCCTTGTGATCTTACCGAATGCAAAGTACTCTGGATAGCGGCATGTTGTCGCAAAGTGGATACTAGCTTAGGGTTTGAGTAAGGAAGCGACAAGTGAAGATTTAGTGATTGCGAGAGGATGCTCGTCGCATCGAGCAAGCTCCTCAATTCAGCTGTCGATGTCTCGGATGAGGAAGCGAATGGGTGGAGGGTGTTTGTTGGCAACGCGTCCGGCGAAGCGTACTTGTACAAAGTCGTCAGCAGACTGTCCGTTCCGTCCATCACGTACGTGGAAGAGAGCAGTTATGGGAGTTAAATCTGTAACAGAAACGCGGGAGTCGTTGTGGCAGAGTTCAAGTAAGGGCGTGTGAGGATTCGGCCCGGGAACGGGGGCTATAGGCGGTCCAGGCGTGGGGAGACTCGCGTGCCGTGCCGATTGTGGCTGAGGATCGGGCTGTGGCTTAGGGATCGAGCAGCCACAGTATTCAGTATCGCTGTATCCCTCATTATTTTCCTTACCCTCTTACTCAGCGTTCAGGAAGTTTTCCATTGTCTAGACCCTACTGTTATCATATAAAAGACCTAGTATTGTACCGTGTAGAGACAGGCGTTCTACAATCGAGACTTTACCACTGTCTACGAGCGTGTGAACATTTGCCTACCCTATTCGTCGTGTGCGGTATCGGACTACGCCGAAACCTCACATATTTTTGACAGAACCAAAGCTCTCGCTCTAGTCTCTGCTTAGTATTATTCGTCTGGGCGACTCTTGGGCTGATCACCCGTGACCTCCGACGGCTTCTACTTCGACAGCGACACTCGACTTTGACTTCGATTCCGATTTCGACTCCGACTCAACTCCGACCATCGCCACTCAAT